ATTAATTAATGAGTTCATTGTAGGAACTAGCTGTCTCTATCATTTCTGTTGGCTGATATCTCTGATAGGCCCTTTTGGGAATTACGAAGAACTGCTGGTCAGTTTAAATAGCTATGCTAATTAGGGCCAGCCTTTATTTCTAAAATCCATTTGTTATAGATTAAGTTTTTAATACTTATTAGTTAAATTGATATATTAAATTTTTTTTTAAAATATAAGTGACAAATTTCAAGCATCATGCCCCATATGAAAGATTTATGCATATATGTGTGTGTTTGTGGGGGAGGGGCATTTGTCAAGCTATAATGCAACCATTTGATGATTATTTGTTATAATTAATGCTTACACCACAGGAGATGTTTAAACAAATATCAAAAGGAATAAAAAAAATTATGGAAATCCTTTTAAAGGTTGCCATGATATCCTCGCACCCTAAATGTTTTATATTAATTGAATGGAAAACTACGGGTTTAACGGGAGTATCGTGTGTGGTGGGGTTCTTTATTATTTTAAAATGAATTTCATCAATCTTGCATTGTATTCAATAGCACATGTGCCCCCATCCATCTGACATTTCCTACCTCCATGGCAAAAGAGTTCTGCTAAGTTAAGTAATCGGGATATCAAGTATTTAGTGTAGTGCAGTGTAATTTCTGCAACGTGACGCCAGAATCCATCATTCCTGCTGCCCAGCGTTGTGCATATCATTGATTTCTTCTTAGCGTCTTGTCACCAAATCTGGTCAGAAATACTAAAATTTTCTTGCATTCATTTTTCTTGCATTCACCCTCTTTGATATTTTTATGTTCCCATTGTTCCATTTACTTTTAAACACCACGCATTTTCCTAAGTAAAATGCCAAAAAATTCGCCAAATGCGTGTTGCTTAGGTGAAGACTCGTACTTATTTAAAAAAAAATTTTAAAAACAAATTCACAAATGCTTAAGATTCAATCCAAAGTTTTTTTTTCAGTGCACCTGAATTTCAAAAGAATTCTTCAGTTTCTTGATGGCTTATCCCTCTTTCCATGTATGCAAGTTTTCACAGACAGGGGAATACTTGCAACAAGCAATCTGAAAGGCTTGCATTAGAATATTGTTTTTAATTATGGCAGTGTGTGTCCTGCTTCTGATTAAAAAGCCATATTTCCGAGAAAAAAAAACCTCACCGAAGCTGAACAAAATGCAAACTTTACCAGTAACTTTTCAGGGTAGACTACATTACCATCAAAAAATCAGCTCGATACCTGTCAGTGTTAATAAGATATTTTCAAATCATAATCCTCGAGGATGGACCACAATTTAAATATATAGAAAAAATTCTTTCAAAAATCTTCTCAGGAACAGCAAAGCCATGATTGATCATATTTAATATATGGGAGCATCCCTACATGTACGTAGTGTATATTCATGCTTATTTTTTAGATCAAGGCCCAAAGGGTAGGGTGGGGTTCGGGCCACTCCTGTAGAACTTTCAGTCAATATTGAAACGACTTCTTTTTTTTGTTGCTAAAATGATAATCTTAGCGATGTGGCATCATCTTAATTTTTAAAAAACGCATGTGAAATTACACTTAAATGTACCAGCAACAGAGCAATGACATACATTTACAAAATATTTTATTTATCACGAGTTTAAATCCACAATTTTTACTGGTTTGGAATTCTTTAACGCTATGCAGTGAATAAAGCTATTAATGACTCCAACCAGAAAGTATAAATACCGGGCAGGTAGATATTGCACAGGTGAGCAGGTAATCCAATACATTGATTTGGACATCATTTAGTCGACAAGACAGACGCCATTAAAGTCAGGTAATAACTATGAAATGATTTCATTTGATAAATTTGATTAATTGATTACATACGAATTTCATACAAGACAAAATAAACTTCAAATATGTATAATATAACATTTACATTCGCTGTGTTTTACTACTAAGCTAACTGTGAAACTGATTTTAAAACCATTTCATAGGCGTCGGAACCGGGGGGCAAGGGGGGGGGCCCCCCCACTTTTTTTCCAAATATATACTTAGTTTAGACATTGAACATATCTACGTAGGTTTACCCCCCCCCACTTTCCACAATACAGAGGTCTTAGTGTAGGTTTAAAGTGCGGAAAGTGGTTGTGTTGGAAAAGATTTTGGTACTGAAGTTCGAACCCCCCCCCCCCCACCACCACCACGAAATAGGTATTTCGAGTTTGGGCAATTTTTTTTTTTTTTTTTTTTGCTTGTCAGGTTTTTTTGAAGGTACAAACAAAATTTTCTTTACACTTAGCCCCCCACTTTCATTTTGCTTCCGACGCCAATGCATTTTCGTGTATACTCACGCGTAGAAATATACACGGGGAAACGTGTTAACGTGACGTCACAATGAGACTGCAGCGACGTTAGAAAAATACAACGATATAGGGCAGCGAGAATTAGATATTGAGTATATTTTAGTTTCTCCCAAACATGTAAAATGTAAATATAAGGAATGTTTTTAAGTTTTGTGTTAGTTATTGGTGTGAGAATCACACAGACTTGCACGTAGGCATATTTTTCATGAAGCGCTAGCGCGCTTCATGAAATATGCCTACATGACAAGTCTGTGTGTTTCAAACACCAATAACTCACATAAAACTTAAAAAACATTCCTTATTTGAAGGAAAAATTTCGACATGTAAGATTGTTTAGAAGACAAGCGTACATTCTTATCCATCATAAGAATGTACCCCTTTCAAAAATAATGTTTTCAAGGTCATGGATATACATGTAAATAATGACTAAGGCAGCAAGACTGTCACTTGACAATACAGTATTTCAGTATCATTTGCTAAACATAATTTTAGAACATCGACTCAGTTTTATTATCTTCGTTCTCCTGGACTTGACTAAAGATAAATACAGGTGACTTGATAGCATATTGATTATGTACAGTCAATACATTGAGGTGCCATTAGTGTAATATTAGCATTAACAATGCAACCTTTTTCTACACTACAGGACTACTCTGATCATGGACCCTCGTACCAGTGCCCAGGACGTGATGCGATGTGACCTGTGTGAGACCGCTGTAGTACAGATGCACTGTGATTCATGTCTTGTCAACCTGTGTAAGGCTTGTGTGGGAGAACACATGGTATCTGATCAATCCAAAAAACATGAAGTTGTTCAATTCAAGCTTAGAAAATCTACGCTGCTCTTCCCTGTGTGTAAAATTCATGATAAAAAGGAAGACATTATTAAAGAAAAAAATGAGCTAAATGAGACAATTTATCCCACCTACCAGTACATTGCCTTTGATGTACAAAACAGAATGAGTCAGTTAGAAAAGAAATATGGAGATCTCTCAACAGCCATAACAAAACATGGAGAGGACTGGCACAGAGAAATTGACGAACTTGTCCAGAAACTTAAAGCTGAAGTTGAAAAAATGAAAAATACACAGTTACAAACTCTACAGAAACATCTGGATGAAATAAACAAAATCATTTCTGACATCAAGGATGAAATTGATTCACTTGATGTTGCTGTTAAATCTAATGACATGTCAAAAATATTTAAATCTACATTCAGTGTAGAGAGATATAGAAATCTTCCACAAAAAGTTCTGCCATCTTTACCTACATTCACGCCATGCAAAATCAAAGGACAACACCTTAGTAAAATATTTGGAACTGTATCATCGAGTTCTCCTACATCAGATAAATACGGCTACAGCATGAAGACAACAAAAAATTCACCAGAAGCTGGATCCTCTCCTCCAGTCAAACAGCTGCTTGATGAACCAGAGACTGTAACAACCATAAACACCAGGTTTTATAACCTTTATAATGTGGCCTGTCTGAGTGATGAAGAAATCTGGACAAGAGGAAGTGACAACACCATGAAACTCTACAGCATCAATCAGGGATCACTACTCAAGTCAATCAGAACCAAGTCGGGAACAACCATCTGACATAGCAGTGACAAAAAGTGGAGATCTAGTTTATACTGATATCAGTGATAGAACTGTGAACATTGTGAAGAATGAGAAGATAGAGGTGGTGATCAGACTACAGAACTGGAAACCCAGCGTGTCTGTAGTACCCCTCTGGTGACGTCCTGGTTATCATGTACAGTGACGATACCCATACCAAACAAAAGTTGTCCGTTACTCTGGCTTTACAGAAAAACAAATCATTCAGTTTCATGATAAAGGTCAACCTCTCTATTCATCTGGTACCATAGCTGAGAACAGGAACCTAGATATCTGTGTGTCTGACTGGAAAGCTAATACAGTAGTGGTGGTCAATCAGGCCGGGAAACTAAGATTCAGATAACTGGACATACTCCTGGTCTCAAGAACGAAATATTCAGTCCACGAGGAATCACCACAAATAGTCAGAGTCACATCCTTACAGCTGATCATAACAATGACTGTGTCCACATCATAGACCAGGATGGACAGTTCCTCCGTTACATAAACTGTGGACTGAGTAGACCCTGGGGACTGTGTATAGATACAAATGACAATCTGTTTGTTGCTCAATGGAAAACAACAAAAGTGATGAAAATCACATTTCTGCAGTGAAATATCGTACTGTTCATCAGTGCAAATTATAAATGAGATTATGCTTCTTTTTCTATATAATAGTTCAGTGACCATTGTTGTAAACTAAAAGTATATTTATGATATCATTTTCAAATATCGGGATACAAATACAGGTTGGTCAAAAATCAATACAATTTGATTTATGTTTTGTTTAATACAATTTTATACTGGGAAAAAACCTGAAATGGGACATTCTTTTAAATTTTTTTAATCAGGAATAAAGACTTAATTAAAACCCTAAACTATAGTGTTGGAGAATATATACACAGGAAAGATATCCACGTGTATATGTTTGCTCATCATACTCAAATGAATAAGCAGTTAACTTAAACACCAGATATCTTGGATGCAGTAAATCGAAAACAAGAGGCCCAGGGGCCACAGCGCTCACCTGAGCACATCGTGCTTGAATTTATCCCCCCCTCCAGGCGTTCATCATTTGAACAAATTAGAATCTACACTACCTGAGGATGATTCCATATAAATATCACTAATCATAGCTTTGAAGTACTTGAAAAGAAGATTTTAAAAGGTTTCCCTATATATCCCTATGTAAAACTTGGGTCGGCCATTTTGGCCCCACCCTAGCCCCGGGGGTCATGATTTGAACAAATTTGATTCTACACTACCTAAGGATGATTCCACATGAGTTTCATCTGTCATGGCCCAGTGGTTCTTGAGAAGAAGATTTTTAAAGATTTTTCCTATATATTCCTATGTAAAACTTGGGTCGGCCATTTTGGCCCCACCCTAGCCCCGGGGGTCATGATTTGAACAATTTAGAATCTACACTACCCCAGGATGCTTCCACATAAGTTTCAGCTTTTCTGGCCCAGTGGTTCTTGAGAAGAAGATTTTAAAAGATTTTTCCATATATTTTATGTAAAACTTGGGTGGGCCATTTTGGCCCCACCCTAGCCTTGGGGGTATAAATTTGAACAAACTTGAATCTACACTTCCTGAGGATGATTCCACATGATTTTTCATCTTTTCCTGGCCCAGTGGTTCTTGAGAAGAAGACCTTTCAAAAATGCCATTAATTTTTCTCTAATTCATAATTATCTCCCCTTGGAAAAGGGTGTGGCCCTTCATTTGAACAAAATTGAATCCCCTTTTCCCAAGGATGCTTTGTGGCTAGTTTGGTCAAACTTGGCCCAGTGGTTCTGGAGAAGAAGTCGAAAATGTGAAAAGTTTACGGACAGACGACAGACAACGGACAGACGGACGCCGGAAAAAATGTAATAGAAAAGCTCACTTGAGCCTTCGGCTAGGTGAGCTAAAAATTGTAAAAGTAGCATATATAGGTACTATATCATTTTCAGCATGGTTATTTTTCATTCCATTTTTTTAAACGCAAGGTAAACAAAATTTCCAGCAAATTTACCTGGTCATTTAGTTGCATTTACGGGATCTTTATAACCTTATCCTCATGTGCAGCGTAAGATGTCCCAGTCTACACGTTGCCATAGCAATTGATACCTCTGACAAATTCATTCAATACTTTTAGTCTGATTGTAGTTATAAAAATCTTTTGGAAAATTGCAAATCTTGATTGTTTTTCTTATCTTTCAACCATTCATAGAGAGATAAACAATGTGTAATACATGCATTTTAGCTAGGTGTCAATTAACTACTAGTATTTTATGATTGGCACTTCTTAATGAAAGAAGCAGGCTAGCCTATTCTGTAAAATATCAAATGAAATTGGTAGGGGTGTCACGGCAACATGTTAAGTAAGGACCCTGACATCAGGGGGATAATTAACCCTTCCTCAGGGTCTGAATCCATGATCAAGGGAACATTAATTTCAGAATTGTGGCAAATTAAACAGTCTAGATACTCCACATGATTGCTTTAAGCCATAATAAATGTCAAAAATTAGGAAGATTTTCAAAGAACTTATTATGAGGATCCTTTGTGTCACATTGAAAAGTAGCCCGTGGGGTCTCACTGGCGAAGACGGGAAAATACAATAATAGGAATATTAAAGAATGTCTCCCCTTTCTCAGAATACTAAAAGGTATCTCATAAAATGTATTACTACCTAGTATTTAAGATTTTTTTTTTTAAAAGTTACTCAATTTATCAGCACATGCGGGGTGTCTGCATTAAAATATGAACCAAGGCATGGTAAAAATATTAAATTCCATGCTTAAATAAAAACTGTAATAAAGATTCACAGTCTAAACATATTTTTTTTTAAAAATATTTTTTACATTGCAAATTTAATGTTCTGAAAGAATGACATGATTAAATTTAAAATATAAAAAAGAGTCACAACTCCATTTTGTAATTTTTCAAAATTTCATTTCCATCTACAACAAGTTTATTCTTTAATTTTTTTTTCTAAAAAAAATAAAAAATATATGAATATCAATAGATATGGCACTCTTTCCAATTTTTTTTGGATTTTATTAAAAATTTTAGAAATTTAAGCTTATGACAAACCTCTAGGTAGATTAATTCTCATGTTTTTTCCCATTTTTTATATAAATTTTTGTGTTTTTTGAAGTCTGTTTTTGTCACCTTCCACCCTAAACGTCCCCTTAAAAAAACACAACCAATGAAATATCAATTCATTACCTCTCCTTAATATTTGGATCCTCCGGCTAAAATAAGTACAAGAAATCTACCGAAAAAAATTAAATATTACTAAACATTAATAAATTTCTACGTAACATTGAAATTTTTTTTTAAAAACATTAGATAATACATTACGACTATATTTTCCCCCCATGGTCGTTGGTTTTTTTGAGGGCCACGCTTCCTGATTCCAGGGCACTAACCCCCGTCGGGGGAGCAATTTCCTTTCATCACAAACCCCCGGGGGACCGGAATCTGAGGATAATTATATATAATCAATATTTATACTAAAAAAGTGTAGTAAATACGGGGATAATTAATGAGAGTTTCAACTTCCCATTGAGAATGTAAAACCCAAATATGGATTACACTTGAAAATATTGAAAAGACCAATTGAAATTTTATAAATTTGCAAATTTTTACACGTGCATGTATATTTATTTGATACAATCAAAAGTCAATTTTTTTTTAGTTAAGGAATTACACCCACCTCTCCCCCTTACAATATATACTACCAAATTTTCTGTAGGCCCCTATAATTTTTTAAGTCCTTTTTTTAAGTACATGTATAATAAATAATGTTTCATATTGATATAATTACAAATGATTGTTACCAATTACAATGTACCCTTTCCCAAGTCAATGAGTGGAGATTCTTACAAAGAAAAAAAAAGATAATAAAGGTATCACCTATTCCTAGAAATATAAATAAGACAATTTTTATGGCCCTCCCCCAAATATTGAAAAGTATTTTTTTTAAAAAAGGCTTAAAAATAATAAAACACACTTTCTTTTAAATTCCAAATAATGTGAATTTTCTTGATCTCCATATCTGTAAACATTCCATTCATGAGCAGCTAAAGGTGAACCCAGTACCTTTTTAAGGGAAAAAAATTTAGAGAAAAATTAATGTCTTTAATAAAAGAAAAAATTAACTAGTGCTATAAAAAGGGGAAAAATAAATGTTAAATTCCAAAAAAATTCTGATAATCATTTAATAATTTATTGAACAATTATAAACACAAAAAAAAAAGAGTATAGTAACATATGATAGTAACATTTGTAGAAAAAGGGGTTTGGCTATGCCTGTCCTAATCCGTTTTGAATTCTTACATAATAAAATATGTTAAATCAAATCTAATACTCAAAATAATAAATGATAAAAAACCCCCCCCCCCCCCCAGTTTTCACTATTACATAGTCCTTGTAATTCAATTTTAATTGACAAGTTTTAACAAACATTAGATATTACAGAAATGTTGTTTGTTTGAATATAATAGACAAGTAGTATTTTGTATATGGAAAAAAATTGTGAAGGTAATTACTGCAATTTATCTACCAATTTCAATTTGTTTTTTTTTTTGCAAAAAACAACAATAATAATAATAATGATAATAATAATAAAAAAAACAGGTTAAACTTGCACTAACCCCAAAATGTACAGTAAATAGCATTATGATTAAAATTTTTTTTTTTGGAATATTTCTCCATCTGATCAATAGGGTGGGAACCCTTGAGTTTTGGGGAGACAGGGAATGCTTACTCCTCCATTGCACCTGATCACAACCCTGATGTTTTTGAACTCCTAGTTGCTTTCTCAATTGTGTTTTAATAACTTTTTAGCGTTTTTCTTTCTTCCCCCTTGAAAAGTGGGAGGGTATAAGAATGGGATTTACGTCTGTCCGTGTCTGTCCAGCTGTACGTCCGTCCTTGCCTTTTCTCTTACCTCAACCCCTTTTAAAATTTCTTTAAATGTGTACCGACAAATCATTCTGCACAGGGGTTTAATTTTCACATACCTTGACTAGTTGTCCTCCATCTTTGTTGATGATGAGATCCCCCTTCATCTGGACCACCATCTTGGTCGTATTATTCCAAAGTTGCCTGCAAAAAA